CTGTGAGAAGATACAGGCCACTGATTTTTTGCAATTTGCATCCCCATACTCTAAGCTATGTTGAAAGCAAAGCTTTTTGGTCCTCTTGCTTTGGGAGTACATTAATATTTCTATGACCTTTACTAGATGGCAGATGAGAAGCATTAGGAATAAAATAACAAATAAACCAAAGGAAACCAATTTTTTAAAATGTGTGTTTCTGAAAGGAGCAATGGGAAAAAGAGTCTAGTCTAAAAAATATGAACTTTAGCTAGAGTTATGATAATTGTTCTATTGTACCTATTTTTCCATGTCAAAATGTTTCTTTACAATCAATCAACTCGACATAATGCAGAAATGCATTTGAAGGGGTTTAGTAACTGTGCATACAAAAATATATAGATACTATTTGGAGGTATTTAGAAAGAAATAGTGTATTTTAAGACATGATTATTTACTGTGCACATCAAAGTGATCATATTAAAAGCATGGTCATTACACTAACAACTACTTTACACAAAATGGCGTCAAATCATTTAACTTCCAAAGTCTGATGATTATAAAGAGAAATTCTGTAAAACAAGCTGCAAATGTGGTGACTTTGTGTGTGGTGTAAATCCTCTGCTTCAGAAGACTATACTTTCTGAATGCTTTAGAAGACCGTAGGAGGAAAACCAACTAAATTCTACCCAGGAAGCCATTTCTCTCACAGCAGCATTGTTTTTCAGTGGTTTTACTACACACCGGAAGCCTACTGTTCCTGTTCATCTAGTTGTCAATGCCATAACTCAAAGGAACAGATCCAAAAATCATTTTTAGTGACTTTAAATTTGACTGCTTTATGAACACCATGTCTAGATTAACAACACCTGTGATTCAGCAAGGCATTTAACAGATGGAAAGCAAAAGTTGTCCCATGAACTAAAGTATTTGTTCACTGGTTTCCAGCTGGAGGCAAAGCTGAGATTATTTAATAACAATTCATTAACCTTTTAACATACACTTTATATCATATGCCACAGTATCAAGTGAAAGGATGTTCAAGGGAGGGGAAGAGGTGTGGATTATTTCTCCTTAGGATAGTGTGAAAGAGTCAGAACATTTTAAAATAGCAATAACCAGACCTTCATACCTTGAATCACATGAATCTAGAAGGGTTCAGATTAAACCAAGTGCTGCTAGTTACAGGATTGACATGATGGCAAGAATCCCCTTGTCTTTATTAGCAATGCTCTTGCAGCCACTAGAATCAGGCTAGACCTTACATTGAATGTGTCACATATCTATTTTTTATTACTTTTGTAAGTTCTTCTACAGGAAAATTTTCCCTCCTTGAGGTTTCAAGGAATACTACCTTATAATTTTAGGGACGAAATATAGTTTTATTATAATCATAAGAACTTATTAATGAAAAAAAAGAAAGTTTGAAAGCATGTTTGTTTTTGTTTTAGTTTATTTTAAGTGAAATGAGGGACCTCTTTATAGTTTACAAGGATTTCCCCTCCATTTGCTCTTTAAGTCCTTGAGCTTGTTGCTCTTTGCTCAAGTTTTCAGAGAAACTGAAAGTGACTAGAAGCTGACTTTGAAAATATCTTTTCTCCCCACTGCTTTGTTTTGTTTTTAAATAAATTTCCTCAGTTTGATCTATCTGTATAGAAAAGTGTAAATCATTTTTTCTTTTTTTTTTTTTTTACAATTTTCATTTATCTAGAGAATTACTAAGACACATCTTTCACTCATTAGATGTAGAGATTCTTGACCAATATGTAAAGTCAGAGGACACTACACAGAGTTATCCAGCTGAGAATCAACCTATTTTAAATATAGCTTATCCTTAGATTATTGTGCTTTAATTATGCCGTGTGTAAAATGTTTTTAGACATAAAGCAACCAATATGAACTTACTGAAGTGATGGTACCTGTCTTTGCAGTCAATGTCCTCAGCCCACTAATGGTGTAAAATATAATCAGTTTTCATCTGCTGGTTTGAATGGAATTAAAGTTTCTGTTCAAGATATAGCTGTGATACTGCATTGTATTGCACAAAGACAGTTTCTACACTTCTACTCAATGTCATATCACTCCCTTTGCACTGCAGAATTGGGACGCTGAAAGATTTAATTGGAATCCTTCTCAAGCATATA